TAAAATGGGAGAAGCATGAACTGCTTAAAATCTCCTGGGGATTGTTTTAGCTCTTACAAGAGTGCTTCTTCTGTCTTAAGGGAAATACACCAAATTAATGCGTAAAAACAGCTCTACAAGCTGAACTTGCAAGAACTGATCTGAACTTGAATACAGAAATGTTTTAAAAGTCCACAGCTAGAATCATGCACCTCAGGAGTAAGTGGGGTCATTTTGAGTCCATATGTTTATAGAGTAAAAAGCACAAACTGGCCTCAACCTAATAGGCTGCTACAAGCAACTGAAAAATAAACATTAAATAAAACAACAGTGAAGCAAGGAGTTAAACAATCTATATTGTACAAAACATATTTAGTGTGTCCATAGAAGGCTACTTTGAAAATTACCTCATAATCCTTCAAAATATTTAATTGACAGTATTCATTTTCTTCATGTTCAATAAGTCTGAATGCTAATATATCACCACTAAATGCTAGCAGACTTCTAGACAGCTGACAAAATGTGACCTGAACACCAGTCAAGTTAAAAAGCCAAGCCATCTTCTTACGACATGGGGTGTCAAGCTCTGAAGAAGTCATGCCCTTCCTTTTTGAACAGAAGCTAACCTAAACATAGAGATGGCTTGCAATGTTGCCTTACAACATTGCTAACCACCTCTTGGCCCCTGGGTAAAACAAAAGCCTGTTTAGAAAAACAACTTGTCAGCTCTGTTCACACTTTCTTCCAGCAATCTCCTTTGGGGAGTCTGCATAATCAAATATAGCAAGATATTTCTTAAATGATTTTATATCTGCATTTTGCTGCAGGGCAATGTCTTCAGTGGTTTAAAACTCACCAAATATGCCATATGCTGTATTAATGTACTTTCCACAGTTCCTATATTTCCTATATGGGAAATATAGGCTAACAATTAATGGCTAGATCACTAGTCTAACAACTGATGACTATTTTACTAGGATTATATCACCCATCCATTTAGGCATTCAGTGGGATGGTACACTACAGGAGACACTACTGTGCAGTGGTTACTGCACATTTATTTAGTAATTGTATAATCAAATACTAAATAAATGTACAGTAACTGGAGTTACTGCACAGTAGCACCAGCACACACCTTTCAAGTGATGCTACTGCACAGTAGCCTAATAATACTGTGCAGTAGTGTACTAGCACTCTTGGTGCTGTGATGTGCTACTGTGCAGTATTATTCAGCATCTCATGGAGGCATACCCAGTATCTTACTTTGAATGTAACCAAATGTTTTTGAATGATCAATTAATCCTGTGAAATTATACGCAATGAGCAAAGGCTTCAAGAACTGTGATTATCTAGGCCAGAGAAGAGAACTTGAGCATCGATTTGACAAACAGTCTTCAAATATCTGAAGACTGGTTATAGAGGATAGAGATAGACTAGGCTCTGTGACCACAATGGACAGGACAAGGAACAATGGTTTCTAATTGCAACAAAAGCAATTTAGGAAGAGCTTTCTCACTATGAGGACAGTGAAACTATGGACCAGGCTATCCAGAGAAAATGTGGCATCTCTATTCTTGCAAGTGTTTAAGAGTGGGTTAGACAAACACTTGAAAAGGATAATTTAGTCAGGGTTGATCCTGCCTAAGACAGGGAGCTAGGCTAGATAATCTCTGGAGGTCCCTTCCAGCCCTACTTTTTAAAAAATCAGTGATTGAGTGAATATTAATAAATGTTGGACTTCACAGAAACATGTAATTAGCCAATGGTTAATTAATCATTTTTAAAAAACTGTTGAGGAACCATGCACACTGAAACTTTCAAAACGTAAGATAGTCACACCCAATACCATATAAGAAATAGCAGCATTTTTGTATACTTAGACAAGGAAATATATATTAGAAACAGTTATCTAAAAAGACAATGATAAAGCGATTGTTCAAAGACATTAATTTCTTACATAAGGACTCCCACATTAGGTATTATTCCTCTGGGGGGACAAACTGTTTTCTAATATCTAAGTACTGAAAAAGCAGATACTTGCAATATTTCATACTCCTATTTTGCTAACAAGAGAGAAGTTAAACCCATCAAAATATTTTGTAAAAATTATTAAGCAAATTAGAACTGAGCCATTCCTTTAAATTTCTCATATAAAATTATACAGGTAATAATAATTTGCTAAGAGCACATCTACACATGCAATTAATGAGAAGCAATAAACTCTAGCACTTATTGCGCCAGAGTTTATTGCTCCTGGGCATGCCATTTGAACATGCACCCAGGACCATAGCATGTTGAGCCACGTTGGAGCAGCCCTGGCTGCTCCCACCACAGCTCAAAGTGCTACAGAGGGGCTGGCTGTGGCACAAGGGTGATCCAGTGTGGAGCTAGTGAGAAGGTGGCCCCTGCACTGAAGTACCCTTGTGCCCAAGCCAGCCGCTTTGTCATGCTTTAAAATAAGTTTTAGTTCTGGAATTTAGACATCTAAATCATGTTATCATTTGTTATAATATCTTGATAATTCAGTTTCTAGATTCTGACCTTATTTAGCATACATCATTTAAATTCTGACTATAGAAATATGGAATTGCCTTACAGATTTTTTCCTAGAGTCCATCACTACAGTATTTGAATACTTTACCAAGATTAATGGATGTATCTCTACAGTGCCCTTATGAAGTAAGTTTTTATCTCAATTTTATATCTGTAGAACTGCGGGACAAAGAAATTAAAATAAAATAATAATGTGAACATATTTTAAGATACATAGGGGCTATTTTTAAAGTATTTAAAAATAGCATATTATATGTTCAGCCCATAGCTCACATTAACTTCATTTGCAGCTGTGAGCGCTCAATAGTAGAGATGGTGGAAATGCAGACTTTGCATTTTATTGGAAATTTCAACATTTTGAAAATTCTTCTGTAAAATTGTCCTAAAAACAACAATTGTGAAAAAATATTTAGAATGAAAAATATAGAAATAAATTAAAATGAAATAGATTAAATATTCTATTAATTTATTCTATGTTATGTTAGTTTATTTTTAAAGTTATTAAGAGTGATTGCACAACATCTTATTTTTGCCTCCCTGCCAGGCAGCAGCAAACAGCAGGGCCAGCTGGGGCCCTTCAGCCAATCAGTGGCGGGAGGAAAAATGATGTCATATTTAAAACTGAAGTTTTTGCCTCCCTGTTGATCAGGACTGAGCCACAGTCAGGCCCCTCCAGCAATCAGTGGGGGGGGGGGGGGGGGGGGGGGGGGTGGAGGTGCAGGGGAACCTGCAAGACTAAAGGAACCACAGTGTACCACCCTCTCCAGTCTGGCAAATGACAACAGGATCTGAATGAAGCCCAAAGACTTTATTAGAAATTACATTAAGATTGTCCATTCCTTTCACAGTATCAGTTATATCAGTAGCTTTTATGACATTTTGTATCATCTCAAATATATTTGACAGGGTTTTGAACTTAGTTAGGCATGTGAAAATGCAGAGTAATTTCCATAAAAATAATCTAGGTTTACATTTGTGTAACTGAGATCAAACACTATCTCACTGAGTAATTACATTTGGTAATTACTGGAGCCAAACACCTATTACATGAAAGGTTTGTCTGATTGAAAGACAAAACCCATTCTTTATTGTTGGAATTCTGTATATAGAATCATAGAAAATTAGGGCTGGAAGGACATCAGGAGGTCATCTAGTCCAACCCCTTGCTCAAAGCAGGACCATCCCCAACAATATAATCCAAGGATCCATCCAACCTCTATGGGTAACCTGTTCAAGTGTTTTACTAGACTCCTAGTGAGAAAGTTTTTTCTAATATCTAATCTAAACTTCCCTTGCTGCAACTTGAGACCATTGCTCCTGCCACCACTAAGAAGAGTCTAGCTCTGTACTCTTTGGAACAACCCTTCAGGTAATTGAAGGCTGCTATTAAATCCCACCTCAGTCTTCTTTCCTCCAGACTAAATAAACCCAGTTCCTCAGTCTCTCTTCATAAGTCATGTGACACAGCCCCCTAACCATTTTCACTGCCCCCTAGTAGACAGTGGCAGAGCCGGCAGGGAAGAGGGGAGAAATGTCCCACTCTTACCCACTTCCTTACCTGTGATGTGTCCAGGATTCACCCAGATGGTGAGACCCTCCAGGCACTGGGAGAAGAGGGCTGGGACCATCCCCCACTCCAGGCTGTGCTGGAGAGATCAGTTGGGTTGGGTGCTGGTGGCAGAGGTGCATACCCATGTAAGCAGCTTTTCTGATTGAGGGTGGGGCTGGGGCCCTGCACCATCTCTAGTCCTGGGCAGCTGGCTCACTAATCAGAGCCTGGACATCCCCTTGACAGGGATTACCAGCCCCAGCTGTGCAGTGGAAGCAGCTTGCAATTGGAGCGAAGAACCAGTGGGAAGCCCCCAAAAGCCCCTGGATCTGAGGCATGGTGGCGAGCAGACTCTAGATTGAGTGGAGCACCAAACAGATGAGGAGCAGCTGAGCTGTTCACCTTTTATTATACTTATTCAGGATGGACTCTTGGGTATTCCAGGAGCCAGATCCGGTGCCTTCAGCTATGAGACTGGGACCAAATAAGACTTTAAATATTGGCATTGAATGATTGCAGACCCCTCCTAAGGGCCTGAGTCCTAAAGACTATATTACACTGGAGGATTGAGTCAGGAGTATAGGGGTTGGAGGAACTCCCATTCAGGCCTCTAAGGCCCATTTGCTGGTCCAGAGGGCCACTGTGGTATAAGGGACTGGTGGTCTCTGCTCCTTTTCCCTCCATGGTTTAGGACTATTCCCAGGCTGAACACCACCTCCTGTAATTTTTCCATCTAAGTCGTGGTAGGTGAAACCAAGTGAGGACTAGGACAGCCTCACCCTGAGGAGGGAATATCCCAGCACCACCTTGTCAAGGTTTAGACTAGCCCAGTCACTGAGACATTCATAGCCTGCCCTTGGAGGTCAGCAGCAACTCAGTGACATAGACTCTCTCCAATTTGTCTCCATCTTTTCTGTAGTGGGGGCCCAAAACTGGAAACAGTACTCCAGATGTGACCTCAAAAGTGCCAAATAGAGGGAAAGAATCACTTCCTTCAGTCTGCTGACAACACTCCTACTAATGCAGGTCAGTATGCCATCAGCCTTATTCACAACAAGGGCACACTGTTGGCTCATATTAAGCTTATCGTCCACTGTAACCCCCAGGTCCTTTTCTGCAGAACTGCTTCTTAGCAAGTCAGTCCCCAGCCTATACCAGTACTTGGGATTGTTCCACCCTATGTCCAGGACTTTGCACTTCTCTTTATTGAACTACATAAGATTTATTTTGGTCTAATCCTCCAATTTATCTAAGGCTCTCTGAATCCTAGCCCTACCCTCCGGTAATTTTACTACTCCCCGCAGCTTGGTGTCATCTACAAACCTGCTGAGGGTCCATGTTATTCCATCTTCCAGGTCATTCATGAAGATATTGAACAAAACCAGCTCAAGGACTGATCCCTGAAGCACTCCTTTTGATACTGCCAACTAGACATTGAGACATTGATTACTACCCTTTTTGAGCATGATGTTTCAGCCAGTTTTCTATCTACCTTACAGTCTATTCATCCAATCCATACTTCCTTGGCCTACCTGCAAGAATGTTGTGGGAGATTATCAAAAGCCTTGCTAAAGTCAAGGTATATTTTATCCACTGTTCCCCTACATCCACAGTCAGTCATCTCATCATAGAAGGAAATCAGGTTGGTCAGACATGACTTTCCCTTGGTGAATCCATGCTGACTATTCCTAATCATCTCCTTCTCCAAATGCTTAGACATGGATTCCTGGAGGATCTACTCCATGATTTTTCCAGGGACTGGTCTGTAGTTCCCTAGATCCTCCTTCTTCCGTTTCTTAAAGATGGGTACTAGATTTGCCCTTTTCCAATCACCTGGGACCTCTCCTGACTGCCAAAAGTTTTCAATGATAATGGCTAGCAGCTCTCCAGTCACATCGGCCAACTCCTTCAGCACCCTCGGGTGCATCACATTCAGCCCCATAGACTACTGCACCTCCAACTTTTCAAAATAGTCCCTAACCTGTTCTGTCACCACTGTTGACTGCTCACCTCCTCCCCAAACTGTGCTGCCAGGTGCAGTAGTCTGGGAACTGACCTTGCCTATGAACACTGAGGTGAAAAAGGCATCGAGTACATCATCCTTTTCCTCATCATCCGGGGTCACTAAGTTGCCTCCCCATTCAGTAAGGGACCCACACTTCCCCTGATCTTCCTCTTGTTGGTGACATATTTGTAGAAACCCTTGTTACCCTTCATGTCCCTTGCTAGCTGCATTATATGCACTCCTTTCTAAAATCAGCTACTTCTGTTATTTGGGTATAAATGGAGAGAACAGTTTGGGTCACTGTATCTGTTCTGAATCACCATTTGTGAGTTTGTCACTTGTGTGATTTTCACTTAACTCAACAATGTTTGACTTTTGTGTTTTTTCAAAGTGCATTTACTGAGAAAAGATATTAAGTCATTTTGGGTATTTATACATGTGCTCTTGGAGCCGAGGGAAGTGGGGCAGCACTTTAATTAGATCTTTAGTTAAAGCGCACAGAGCGTCACATCTATCAGCATCCCCATGCTGAAAAATGGCAGCAGCGGTGCTTTAACTGAAGCCCATAGAATGAGCTTTAGTTAAATTGCCCTGCCACCATTTTTCAGTGCATGCTGGAGTCTGCTGGAGCGTTGTAATTATGATACTCCAGCAGACTTGATAAATCAAGTATGCTCTGATGCATTGTAATTACAGTGCATTGGAGCAGCCTCAATGCATGTGTATAGGTGCCATTTGTTATTACTTTATATAGAAAATGTAAAAACATTACAGAGAAAAGCTTGATCATAGGCAACCCTCTAAATCTTATGGGAAATAGTAAAATATAAATAAATGTGCTGTCCATAAATTTTTTAAATGTATGCAACCTCTCACAATTACAATTTTCAAG